TTTAGAAATCTTAATTTATTTCAATTTTCGACGATATATATTAAATTTATTTATCAAATAATAAATTGGTTCGAATTAATCTTTAGATCTTAACGAATATAGGATGAGAGGCATACACGAATATAAAAAGTATATTGCGTACAACATACAAAAACGTAAGGAATATTTTATTGATAAAAACGCTTATGTTGCAAAAAAAAAAAAAAAAACTTACAAACACTAATCAAGTGCGTTTTTTGAAACATCAATTATTAAAATTCATTTTAGATTTTTAGTAAATGAAATATAGCACATTAAATTTTACATATAAAATTAATTTAAATCTTTGTTATATAGCGCAAACATATTAACGTATTATGGCAAGCGTTTACAGTGTTTGAGTTTTTAATCATTGGGATAATTGTAAGGACCTTGGAAATACTATCAAGAACAAGGTGGGTGAGTGTTAAATGGTTACTTCCGTTTATGATATCGATTTCAAGATATGAAATTAAAGTATCAATTTTTTTTAAAATGTCAATCGGCATCGATTCTTGTACACGTTGTATCTTGACGAGGAAATCGTCACGTGCAATTGCTACCTTAGAAATTCAAAAATTTATTCAATTTGGAAAAATTATTTGTATCTACAAAGTATAAGATTTAGCTAAATCATAATCTATTGAGAATAGACCATCTACTTATTGACTTCAAAGAAAAGATTGTGAATTTTAATTATTTCTTGTAAAGTCACTTATATTTATCTACTTGCCACGTACTGTACGTTCATTCATATAAACTAATTACTCGGGATGGTGTAAAAAAATTTTATAACAATAAATAAAAACCACGATTTGATTGGCCAATCTAACATATGACTGTGATTTCCTGATTTACTACAAAATCCTGACACATAAAATCCCGACGCACAAAATCTTAACAATACTACTGTTAAGATATCGATAGTGTCAGGATTTTGTATCGGGATTTCAGTGTTGCCGGGATTTTGTTTTCAGGATTTTATGTTGGATATCTGTAGTAAAACTAAACTCATCAGGTGAAATTATTAAAATCGCCAAAGATTTTCGATTTGTTTAAAAATACATCTAAAATAATTACAATATAATTAAAGTTAATAAAATAAATTTTGACATTAATTTGATAAAAGCAAATTTTAAAAAGAAATGTCTATCCGTTCTAAATCTACTTTCATCTTCATAACACTTTTCGTTATTATCAGCATCACTCTTCTTCAAATTACAACCGCTGAACTTCCAAAAGATTTTGGTAAATCTCATAACAGCAATAAACCAAATATTCCGTTTGGTACCATGTTAAAGGACAAAGATTCGTCTGCTACTCCGACTCCAACTCCAACGTCATTATCATTACAACCTTCAACCATCGAGCATTCAGGAAACGTTATATCTACAATGACCATGCGTGTTACGACTGTTCATCATTCTACGACACCTAATTCCACCTCTAAACCTTCGATTAGCGATAGTGGTGCGACGATGATTGGCGAAACATTAAATCGTGAATTTTGGGGAATCATGGTTGGCGTTTTGTTGTGTGTTTGTTTTGGAATTACGAATATTTTTTTTGAATGACTATGGCTTTAAATGTGTATATAGTGATAGTATGAAAAGTTTACGTTTGATTAAACGATTTTTATGCAAACCAAAAAATCGAATAGAAAGAAATTACATACCCGATTATACTGTATTAAAGAGATGAATTTTATTCATTTTTTTCAATAAAGTTTTTCTCAATGAGATTTGTACAAACTAGAGATGCGGTAGAAACTCAAAACATCGGAACTAACTTATTGTCGTATTCGTATTTATCCTATAATTGCAGCATATCGATACAGTTGAACGTATCGTAACTTTTCTATATGTCGTAACTTCATATAAATTTTATGTTTATTATTTTTTTTTGTGAACATGAAAAAAAAAGTATGTTCACAAAAATTGCCATATTGTCTCTTGAATTTCCAACACTGATATGACTATATGTAAATTACACATATTGGTATGCACATATATTAATTGCCTCGGATCATAATGAAATCAGATTAAAATGAAATGATGGTTTCTATTTGACCAGTATTTGACCCTCTAAAACCCATTTATACTTGTTTATTATAAACCCTACGCCAAAACTAACCTCTGACCCTAATCCTTAACCTATTTTTTACATTGTACAATATTTCATTTAATCCGATTTCATTTTAATCTTTCCTGTTGAACGCGTTTTTTGTTGTAGTTCTTTTTCGGGTGATCTACATCTGCATTATCAAAACATAAATCGACCAATAAGATTTGAGTCCTATGATAGATATAAAACTATATATATATGTCAAAATTTTCTCAACAACATAGTTTCTTTTTTTACCAGCTATTTTGTTTGTCGTGTTATCCACTTCTATATAGGTTTAGAGAAGTTAGATCACTTCGGTAATTCCAGGGTGAATTATTGATTGGTCGTCCTATGTGGCTGCACTTTCAACTTCTCGTTTGTTAGTGTCCTCTATCACTTTACAAACTATTCTTAAAGATCGTTTTCTTTATATTCGTTTTGAAGTTTTTTTAAGCTTTGCGCTTGAATAAGGTTTGTTAAATGAGCGATGTACACCTTCCAACACGGATAGAGCTTCCAAACTTAGTAGCTTAAAATTTCCCTACTATGGTTATACACAAATTTTCCTAAGGAAGTTCTGTGAAGCCGACGATCTCGCAAAATTTTTCTTTTTGTTATTTAATAATTTTTTATTTTATTTAATAGTTTAGGCAAGTTGTTTTATTATTTATATATTTTTTTGCGTCCATTGTTTTTTTTTTTTGTTATCTAATTTTATTTTTATTTGCTTTAAAGAGTTCGTCGCAGTCATCATCGTTGGAGTATTTTCATTCGTCGTTGCTGTTGTTCGTTGTTGTCGTCGTCGCTGTTGGAGTATTTTCATTCGTCGTTTCTCGTGATAGAAAAACAACGTAAAAAGTTCGTGATATTGGGTGCTCTCAAGCACCTTAATTCATAGGTCGGGGTTCGATTTTTAATTAGTGGAAAATAGTTTGCCGATCAAGTGAGTTCATTATCACGATGAAAAAAAGATGGTCCCTGACTATCTTTTTTTATCATAAAGTTGTGTTGATTGGCCAAATTTTGATATCCGCATTTCGCAAAATGAATCTTTGGCAAAATTGTCGTAAGAATTACTTAAATTAATCGTAGTATGTGTGCACGATCTCGATCATTGGTCAATCACATAGAGAGAGATGCTTGAGAGCACTTATAGTCTAGTCTCTGAATTGTTTTTATCAATAGTTTAAGGGATAATGATGGCTCATTTCACGCTTAGTAGCATATTAAAGAAGTGAAAAGTTTGTAATATAGTCTAGTCTCATAGATCGTTTCTGCACCAGGCTCAATGGTCTATGAGATGACGACACATTTCACACTTAGTATCATCAAAAAGTTTGGGCCGAATGATCTAGAGATGATGATGGCACATTTCACACTTTAGTGGAATGAATGTTAGTCTAAACTCCTTTGGGTCACATGATGCAAACCTTCTGTGGTGTGATCTGGACATCGAACGACTTGTTCGATGGCTAACATGTATTATTTTACTAATCAAGTAATCTAGCCACAACGAAGTGTCCAATTAGAAATTTTTCGTATAATCTTATTTTAGATTATAGGCATTGCTAATGAAGTTTAGTATGAATAAGTCATAGATTGTTCTCAAGCACCTCCCTCTATGGTTAATAAAATTATCTGATTGGCTGAAAAATGGATCGTGTTTAATCATTTCGGTCAAAAAAACTTGGATCTAACAACCATATTTTTTTTTTTATAGAGTTACTCTGATTGGCTAAAATTTAAAATCCCGCATTTTGCACAATAAATTTCTGGCAAAATCGTTAAAAAGACGATTTCAATTAATTCGATTAATCGAAATGATGAGCAGCACTTCGGTCACTAGCAAATCTCATTTGCCTGAGAACAACCATAGTAATCGATTATTTAGAATTTTAATGATTTAGGTAAACTATTAGAATAAGATAATGCGTAATGGTAGTTTTTTTTTTTTTGGTCACTTTATTCTAGATTTATTTTATTTTGAAATTGATTTTATTATAAAAAAAATAATAATAAATATTACGATAAAAAAGTTGTACCTCTCAATAAATTTTTTTCTTTTTTTATAAAAAAGGCCTTTCGGTGGAATTCTAGAAATTCATAGCCCTAGTCGTTTACACAAAATTATTTTATTATAGAAAATTAATATCATGCCTGAAGAAAAGCATTCCTAAGTGAGCACGCGCACTTTAACTTTAATCCTGGTTATGCTGTTATTCGTTCAGAAAAGTTCGCTGTTATCTGAGGTCAAGGACATTCGTTATGATTGGATGTCCGGATCTCATTTTTTACAAATATTTGAAAGGTAAAAAATTTATCTTTTATTTTATCATGTAATTTATTTTGCAATAATGTAATTATTTATCTTATTCTATCATCAAAAGTCAGTAAACAATACCGTAGAGTTACTGTGATCAACGTTTTGCCTTGACCTTCAATAAACGGTTCATTTTGCGCTTTTCTCTCATAGACTTTTCCTCCGTTGCTAACTTATTTTGCTAATTTTTTTGTGCAACATTTGGACACACACGGACCAAATGACGCTTAAGACGCGTCCAATTATGAGAGCATTGCCTACAATTAGCACCATCATCTGAAATTTTTTTTAGTACAGTTCTGCGCAGATTGCAAAACTTCAAATTTGATACTATTAATGCAGAAATTACTTAATTTTTCCTGATGATAATGTCTCCTAAATATTGACATAATCCCAAACTTTATTTAGTTTAGGTTCACCACGTTTTTTTAGATAAATTTGAAGTGAACCATCTTCAGACTGGTTATTATTAACACTGCCATTGCTTTGAATCGTATGTATATTCGCAATGTTGAGAAATAGAAGACATGTTATTAGTGGGTTCAGATAAAAAGTGTTACGAATCAATTTCATTATAAAAAAAAAAAGAAAGTTTAGAATATAATATTTATTATTACGTAGCTATAACATATGTTTATCAGTATAGTTTAAAATCGGTTTTTAAAATTACAGAGTTACGCAGCTAATTAGAGTCACGAAGCTAATTAAAAATTACGATGCAATGAGATCGTACGGCTTTTTCCGTAACCATAATTGGTCGAATGTCGTAAAATTCATTGTGACGATTCTACCGCATCACTATGAAACCATCACAAAGCGAGCATTACACTTTTAATACTATATACTGTATCTACATACAAGTGTGCAAAAGAAATATTGTATCTACCACTATACTTGCCAGACAAACTTTTGGGATTTGGGATTTGTCCATGGACAAACCTGGACAAATGGGATTGTCCGGTCAAGTCTAAATCCCATGTGATAGAACCGGACAAATCCCAATCCCAAATCCCATTCAAAACCCCAGATCCCAAATCCCATCCCATGTCCCAAATCTCAAATCTCATTATAATTATTCTGGTAATGATATATTAAGAGC